TTGTCGGGCAGTGTTTGATCAGTATGGGTTGCGAGGTTAAGTGTAAGACCATTGAGGGTTATACCTGATGGACTAATCTTGCATCTGCCCACAGTCCTTGGGCCTTCATAAGATGGCTGGACCCAAGGACCATTTAGTGTAAATGTTGGGCCCATTAAGAGCCCATAGTGATGGACTCGGGGGTTCACTGTATTCAGCATTGAATTCAGCCAGGCCTTGTAACAGAAGCTAGGCTGAACCCATGTGGCTGATGTGTAGATCAATGATAGGGCCCCACGCCATACAAAGAAAGCCAAGCTAGCCAACATTAAAGTGGAAGTGAGCCTGAAAGCTTGATGGGCCTAATGGGCCTAAAAGCCCATTTCAAACTAGGTTAATTAGATTAATTAAATAAGGGTGGATCTGGGATTTGGATCAACAGATAAGATAAGGGATTATCCTTATCCACTTAAAGAGTCCAGATCCAAATAAAGATTTGGATCAAAGGAACGCCTAATTTGATTAGGAAGGCTGATTTTTATCTACAGATAAGATAAGGGATTATCCTTATCACTTAAAGAGTCCAGATCCAAATAAAAGATTTGGATTAGGAAACTCCTAATGGGATTAGGAAATTTTCTCTTTAAGGCTATAAATAAGAGAGCAGAGCGAACCTCCAAAGACACATTCGCTGAATACAGAGAGAAGACAACACAGTTAGACTGCTCTTGCCTTTTGCTCTTTTTCTTCCTGCTCTTGCCACCCCACCCTGTTCAATCTCCAGTTCTTGGATTCGATCAAGATTGGATCTTGATATTGTTTCTTGTGAGAAGAAACAATCTAGAGGATGTGCTCATTGTCCCATTCGATTCTTGCTGAAGAATCACTAGTTCTTGGTGAAGAACTACCTGTTGATCCTACCTCACCCTAAGTTGTGTCATCTTCAGTGAAGGGAGGATTTGGTACTCTCTTTGGGCGTGAACACCTACGTTGGGAGAAGCATTCTTGCGTTGATTCCGTATCAGGTATATCCCTCATTTTGGTTTTAGATTTGGTCTGGTTTGGTTACAAGAACGAACCTTGAAAATGCAGTTTTCTAAATTGGGAATAAGATTCCCGGATGGGAGTAAAGAAATTTTTAAAATTTTGCCCAACCTTCCTGCAAAGTTCGGCCATCCATATGATGGATCTCCCATCCCTTCATCACCCCCCCAATGAGTTATATCAAATTAAATTTCAATGGATACTATTTAAAGAATCTCAATGATGGATACTATCAAATTAAATTTCGCCCAACCTTCATGTTTGTCTTGTTTGACTGTATATAAATATATTTCCTATAACTAATAAATGCACTGATATTATTACTAATCAAATAATAGTAATAATAAAAACAATGGTAATAATAACAAAAAAAAAAGTTAAAATAACCTGAAACTAAAAATTTAAAACAAAAAGAAAAGAAATAATAGTAATAATAAGAACAACAATAACCTGAAGAAGCCCAGGAGCATCTTCTTCTAGTGCTGTTTCAACCGAGTCCCTGTGATTCATTTCAAGACAAGTTAAGCATCAGATTAAGTACTAGAGACTCCAAAAATAGAAAGTGAGAAGGAATATCTTAATAGAATAGAAAACTACGTGGCAGTCTTTTTCCTTTTTCGTCGACGGTTGATGCCTCCAGATTCAGTATTTTCCGAAGCAGGAGGTTGATTTCCTAGATTAGGCATATCTTTCCGTGAGTGTTTCAAGTTTCTGGGGCAATCTAACTTAGGAAACTTTCTTGAGACGAGGAACTCCATCCGTTCTCGAAGTGGCATATGGTCTAACTGATCATAAATTCCATCATACATTTCCAATTCACTCTTCACTACTAGCATGTTAACATTTGAATGACTACCAGAAACATTCTTGCATGAGACTTGTAAGTTACTCCCCAACTCCTCAACCTTTACTTTGCCTAGAGGGATCAGAGAGGTTGAACTAAGCACCCTGTTGTTAACAGGCACAAGCTCCTTTTCTCCAACAAGTGATTTGAACTCTGTGGAAGACATTTGAGTTGAGCATACGTTGTTACTTTCATGAACCCCCAGAACATGGGTAGGTTTATTTGGATGGCTCTCTCTGCAGTTGCTGGCCTTTGGTGAACATTGAGGGATTGTGCAAGATACCCCAATGATAGAACCACCAGAAGAATTAAATCTTGAAATTGCATGAATTTTGGAAGCTTTTGTTTGAGGAATGCTATCAGAATAATTTCCACCTACTGATGATTGTCTGTCAACAGAACCACTCTTGTCACTTCCAACTCCAGCACCAAGCTGATTATTATTCTTCATAAGGTAAAAGCTCCCCAGAGGTACACTCTGCATAACATAAACTCAATCAGCAGTGTTAATTACAACACATAAACAATGTAGAAAATAATAGGATATAATTTCGAAGAGCATTGCTAGCAGTGATCTCAAGCCTTGCAATCATGAAAATTTATATGATAAAAAGAAAAATATTGATGTTTTGGTAACTACAAGGTGTTTAAGGATGTTTAGGGACCAAAACACCCCTTCTTTTTTCTTTTCTTGATTTATGATCTCCAATTCAATAAGTTTGTGGTCCCTTTGAAGTAGCATTTCTCTTGGAGAAAACTGAATAGCAGCAAAATTAATATAATTTTTCTAATAGTACTTGGAAATACACCGCATTAAACATGCAAGAAGGAAAAAGGAAAACAACAAAAGCAACAGATTGCAAATAGTAACACGTCAAATTACAATTGGGAAGAAAATTTACGGCTATTTTGTCACACCATAGCAACAAAGAAATGCAATAGACAAATAAACTAAGGGTGCAAATCAGGTGCCCAATTTGAAGAATTTCCACTAATACTCTACCCAGGCCCACCCAAGTTGCACCATTGTAGTAAATCAGATACTCTACCCAGGCCCACTAATACTCTTTCTATCATTTCCCAACCATGTTGTCAAACACCCTCTAAAACTTCAATATGGTCCCTCTAGGACTCCATAGTTTGTACGATGTGGTAGTTAGGAAGGCAAAAATGAGTATACACCAAAAGCTTAGACCAGATTTGGTAATTAATATCAGACCAAGCACATAGTTTGTATACTTTAGAGGTAGTACCGTAGTGCCCACTTTCTAGAATCTGACTCTCCATCAGAACTAGTAAACTATAAATTTCCGCATTTTCTACACGTTTCTAGCTTATAACACATAGAATAATCATCAAACAGAAAAGGAAAAATGCTATGTAACTTGCCTACCTTTAAATGAAACAATAGCTTGGTTTAATTAACTTTATCTTGTTATTTTCAATTACAAAGAATTCCATATTGCAAGAGAACATTTCATTTAGTTCATATAAAAAAGGAACAAAAGATGCAACTTGCAACAAAGTGTTCATGCAAGGTATACTTTTTAATATGTGCCACAGAATACATGCTTTACACTCATGTGCCCTCAAGAAATCATAGGGAGAGGTTAATAAAAAAGGAGCCTACAAGAATAATCGGATAGATGGTCAAAATTAAGTCCCAAGGCATTAAGACTAATTTTTCAACCAAAAATCAGATCACTCGACCTGCTGGATTTGAACCAGCAACCTAGAGGATTAGTCCCCTGCTCTGCCTGCTGAGCTAAGGTCAAGCTAACATAAATTCCCTTGCCTTCATCAGTATAGAAATCTCAATGGGATAAGGTATTGGACACAAAATGGAGAATGCCTTATGTTTGTGTACGTGCACCCTGTCATGTATCTGTGCTTGTTAGTCAATGTAGAGTTGTAGGGAAATAATATCTTTATTTATGTTAACTGTTAGCATGTTAGTAGTGTCAGTAAGTTAGTTATTTCTGTTATTCTTTAGTTGCTGATAAGTTATGTTAGTAGGGGCAATATTGTAAGTTTGATATCTTTTAAATCTTTAATATAAATAGCTGAGTGGGGCGGCAATGTGCATGTCAATCCAGACTCTTCTCTGAATTCTTTTTGTAGAAATGTAGAGCAATAATTAATGCTATTATATTGTTGTTATTTTATTTATTGTGGTCCCCACTACTGCTGTTAGTTAGTTCACTTTATATTTGTTGTTAGGCTGCTGTTAGCAATGCTAGTTTATTAGTTATTTGAAGCAGTAGGGGCATTAATGTAATTGTCACCTTATTTTCTGATGTTATTATAAATAGATAAGTGGGGCGGCAGCTAAGGTCTATCACTCTTTTTTCTCATCTTTCTCTTCTTTCTTCTTTCTTCCTTTCTTCTTCTTCTCCAGTATTTTTTTTTCTTTTAAACTGCATCAAGAATTGGACTGATTACAGTCCAGATTTGCCTACTTGGTATCAGAGCCAATCTAGGGTTTCTCATGTGTGTCTAATCCAGCTGAGCACATGAGAATTGCCTAGGCTGGAAGATTAGAAAGAACTATCCATCGGCTGATTCTTGGAGGTTACTATAAGGGTTTAGCAACTGTCCAGAGGCTTGGAGAGTGTTTTGGTAATCAAGAAGAATCAGAGAAGGTTAAAAGGATCAAGATTAGGGTTCAGATCAAGATTGGAAGTGGCGATCAGAATTTTCTGGGTTTCTATCTTTTCTTGAGACCGGCATCAGTCAGAGATAGATTGGACTTATCTAGAAGGAGCGGCTGAACTTTCCCTTATTTTCTCAGAAGTTTTTCTAGGGTTTCCTCTTAACCCCACAATCAGACTTGACTGTGACCTATTTGGAAGGTGCGGCTGAGAATTGTTTCTATTCTCACAAAGATTTCTCTAGGTTTTTTCTTAACCCTATGATCGGACCTGACAATTAACACCTTTTGGGTGATTCCTAAATCAGTTTCAGCATTCTAGATTGTTTTCTAAGTGAATTCTAGACTTGTTTCAGCTTCCAAACCAGCTTATTTTGGGTGTGAACTTTTTTTGGGGGAATCCCTTTGCTGAGAACTGGTTTCTCTTGATAAGCCTATTACAGAAATGGCAGGAGCTGAGTTTAAGACTCAAGGGGAAGGTGTTTTGGGGGCCACAAACATGGGAGAAAACAATTTTCAGATTACTACTGTTAAATTTGATGGTTCTAATTACTTGGAATGGGCTCAGTCAGCCATGATGGCAATTGGGGGCAGAGGGAAGTTAGGTTATGTGAATGGAGATGTAAAGACACCAGCCAAGGAAGATTCGTCATATGCCAAATGGGTTCAAGAGAACTATTTGGTCATGACTTGGCTGTGTAACTCTATGCAGTCTCATATTAGCCGCAATTATTTGTGGGCAAAAACAGCTAAGGAAATTTGGGAAGTGATGAAAGAAACCTACTATCAGCCACTCAATGTTGCTAGGGCCTATGAACGGAAATATGAAGTAAATAATCTCAAACAAGGGGAGAAGCCAGTTTCAGTTTACTTTTCCACTTTGAAATCCTTATGGCATGAAATTGATCATCTGGAAACTATTGAGTGGGAAAGTCAGAAGGATGCAAAAACCTATAGAAAACAAGTTGAGACCAATAGGGTTTTTGAATTCCTAGCTGGTCTGAATTCAGAGTATGATATTGTGAAACAACAATTACTCACAAGGGAGAGTATGACCTTATCTCAGGCCTATTCTTTAGTGCATAGTGAGGAAAGTAGGAGAAAGGTTATGTTGCAGTTGTTTCTACAAAGTGAAGAAAGTCAAACAAATGGAACTGAATCCATTTGTATGTTCAGAAAAATCAGTGCTGTCTGGGAAGATCATTGACTCCTAAAGTAGATGAGGCTGTAAGACAAATGGAGAAGGTGGCACACGAAGGATCAGGGGATTTTGCAGAGTTAGGTAGATGGAGAAGATCGATCAAGGTGGAGTCAAAAGAACTGCTGTTGGAAGAGGTCTTACCAAAAAGAGTTAACAGTGAAGTTCAAGGAAGGTAGAAGAGGAACAGTTTACCTTGTTGGGGAGTGATTGCTTGGTTTCAATGTTTTCTTGATGGAGCAGCTAATGGAAGTTGGTTAGCAGAATGGAAACAATCCTTCATACTATCAAATAAAACCTACATGGCAAACAGAAAAAGAAACTCAAAGGGTTTGTTTGTAACACTGGAAGAGAGGTTTGAGAAAGGGAGAAAACAAATAATTATCATACCAGAAGGTAAAAACCTGGAAGAATGGACTGGATAGCCAATGAACTGTATCAAATGGTGACCAAGATTTGGATGACAGAGACTGAAACAACAGGAGTTTCAGAAACAAACTTAGGAAAGAATGAAGGTCCAGGAGGAGGTAGGTACGATGGAGACTACTGGGAGTGTAGAAATGCAAGATTCGGTGACCCCTAGTCTGGTGGTCGCATGCTTCTCCAATCACAGGAGGATTTTGGTGGGAGCAAGGACGGATGAATGGAAAGAAAGGATGGTGCTAGTGGCTGATAAGGGAGTAAAAGACTGGAAGGAAGTATTGAAGGCAGTTGCAGGGGAGATAGACTATTATAAGTAGGCAAGTCTATTTCCGTTTGCAGAGACAAAGGGCATTTTTGATACAGGCGACCAGGAGATAAGCTTCAAAGCAGTGGTCATTGATGGAAGCCTCATACAGGTCCAGAACTGGAGCCCAATCTGTAACAAAGTCGCAGTCCAAGATGGGTGCACTCGGCTGAAGCTAGTAGGGCTTCCTTTCAACCTATGGTGGGACTCTGTTCTTGAACAAATTGTTCAGAGTCTAGGAGGCGTGCTGGTGGAAGCAAATAAGAGTAATCTGGGTGTTGTTGAGATTCAGGCTGCTGGAATCAATAGGGTGTCGGAGGAATCAGAAGTTGAACAGGCATGGTGGGGAAGAACTCTCAAGGTTGAAGACGAAGGTGAGCTGGCAGGGTGGTGGACACGTGGAGGTAAGAAAGCATTTAATCTTTCAGCTGGGGAATACCAAGCGACAAGGCTGGCCTTTAAGGAAGCTAATTAAAATTGTTTTGAATTAAACAAAGATAAGGCGGGCCGCATTTCCTTTGCTGACATGGCAAAGAACTTAAGTGGATCAAACCACCGAAAGGCCTGGTCTGAACCGGTTGAGTTTCTGGGCGGATCAACCACTAAACCAGGGTGTAATTTAAGTGACCCACGTGACAACTTAAAATATCACATGGGTCGGGGCAAAGGGAAGGGAAAAAGCCCGATTGTAGACAGACCATATGATCTATCTTCTTCCACAGTCGTGAGATCTTAGGGCAAAAAGCTGCAGCAGCAGAGAGAAACCGAACAAGGTGACCTACAGTGGGTGCTACGCTGAAGTCATCAGGACTTTAGCAATGTCCTCAGAGAAACTGAACCCAAGGTATGTAAGAGAGAGAATGGAAGAAAGGGAGGAGTTGGACGAAGGATGAGTGGACTGCG